TCCTCCGTTTTGCATCCCTTGTGATGAAAGAATCACGGTCAAGCATGTCCTGCTTGACTGTGTTGAATATTCCATCATGAGGGATAACTATTTTAAATCACGAACTATGAAGGATCTTTTTAGTAGTATCAGTTCTCATTTAATTATTGCATTTTAAAACGAATTAGAGTTGTTAAATGATTTGGAAATAGATAAATATTTTATGATTGGAAGTTTGAATTAGTAACTTAGATAGTTAGTGGCTGTATCCTCGAGGGGGGTTAAAGTACTGTAAAATTATTGTCCCCCTGAGAGGGTATGTAAGTCACAAAACATTCAAGGTAAATTTAAACTTCTTTTTTTAAATCGTAGAATATGTGTAATTTTAATGTATGGCTAGATATATCTAAATTGCTGACAGCTGAAGGGATGATGTAAATCCAGCTAGGACCCATGCAGGAAGCAAATGTACTGTCAGTCCCCATGGTCTCTAGTATGGTGATCTACCTTCAGTTGTTGGTAATCTATAGCCCATGTTTATACTGTATTGTCATTTATAGGTAAAATATTTTAGATTTAATTACTAGTCTTAAATTTATTCCTGTGATAATCTAGTTGTTTTACTGTCCTTCGTCGACAGATGTTTTATAATGTAAGTGTGTTTATTGTTAATTTCCAACTTTTTTAAAGTCACAATATGGCTGAAATATTGCCTTGATTATAAGTCTTAACTCACTCACTCACTCCTAGAGACGGAACACTGCTGGTGATAAATCCTGGACTAAAAGTTGTAATTCATTGAAAGTAGTCCTTAGTCCTCTACAATTCCACTGTATAATATGATTATGATAAGCTATCTTTTGGGAGGATTTGTTGGGGATGTTCCCTGTACTTTCTTGGTGGGCGCTAGGCTGTGTGCCCTAGAGCAGACGTTTTCGGACACGTCCATGTCCTCAAGGGTTCCATATTTGTTGTATAGGTTGATTTGATAATCTGACCCTTTGGGGGTTCTGGCAATCAGTTTTTTCAAAGAATCTGTGGTTTTTACGTTTGTTTTTAAGGCTTTTGAGTTTAATGGTGATGATGAGTCATGATCTGAGGATGTTTCAGATTTGCTTTTAGACGTGCCTGGAAGTGATTCTGTTTGGGTAGATATTGCAGGTGAAAATATCAGAGGAGATTCCGTTTTAACCAAAGTCAAGTTTGTCTGACTGCATGCAGATGGCTTTGTTATTCTAGTGGTTGCTTCTGACGGTGTTCTGGTTATGGAAGCATAGCTTTCTTTATGTTCTGAGCTTTGAACTACTTTTTTGGCATCTTCAAAGCTAATGTTTTGGGTGAATTTAATTTTATTTATCTCCATTTGATGTTTCCAAACAGGACAGTTCATAGAGTCAGAGGGATGATCCCCTGCACAGTTGGTTGTATGTGTCTTTTCACCACAGTGAGCACATACAACAGACAATGTGCAAGTATTTACGCCAAGACCGAACTTTAGGCATTTGAAGCACCTTAGAGGGTTCGGAATGTACGTGTCAACATTGATGTTACAATAGCCTGCTTTAAGAGATTTTGAAGCATTTGGTGAAGAAAATGAAAACAGGTAGGTGTTTGTTTTTATGATAGCATCGTTTTTACGGGTTGTAAAACGTTTGCCATTGAGTACGCCTTGATCTTTCATCTCCGATACGACGTCAAGTCCCGACATATCAGCAGACAGTCCATCACGGTATCTGATGATTCCTTTGCTCGTGTTTAGTGTTTTATGACCCGTGACCGTAATGCAGACAAACGATTCTGTACTCAATAATTTTGGTGGCTTGTTGCCGTTTTCCACACTCAACTAGCAGAGCACCGGAAAGTAAGCGTTTAATATTTTTAACTTCACCGGCAGAAAAATTAAAATATTAATGATTTCACCAGATTGGACCATGAGCCACCGCCTTCTGGGCATACGACTCTAGGCAAAAACATACATGAAATTGTGTGTTTGAAATTCTATTAATTCTCAAAATTTTGTGCAACAGTACAAGCATAGGGCTTGGCGTGACCAGCCAGTTGAGAGAATCGGGCCAATTCTACCACCCGTCTAGGTGAAGTAAGGGGCGAAGTGGTGTGTTTGGCAGAGGAACGCTATTTCTGGAACCAGTGCCTTCAACCACCAGACTCCCGTCCTCCACAGACTCAGGGGCGAAACCACAGCAAACAGGTTGCCCAATCCGACCAGCAATTGGGTGCTGTGGACCAACATGCCCCCCGGTCCACGAAGAGCTCTAAGCGTTACCCAGCACCCACCACGAGGTGCCTCTAGTGTTGAGAGATGTGTGAGGAGATACACTGACAGGGACCCATAGACGTGTATCAGTTAACGATGTTTTTTGCCTGTTGTCTTTTGTCATATTAAATGAGGATTGATCCAGTTCTCAACCTTTTTGATATTTTTAACACCACCCGTTATTCCATGAATGCTCTTAATACAACTACAAAAAGGAATCATGACCAGTACTCAACTGTCATATAGTCAGTCTCAGTATCAAGAGTACGTTTGGATTTTTACCTCGGGTTTGGAAAGCCATGTTTGTATGAATAAAGTTTCATCATCCCTACTCCCCAGCAGCCACCGAGTGCCAACAAGGGCAGTAATTAACTGCCTGTGGATGTCCAACAGACAGATACCAGGGATATAAGGATAATATACATCAGTAGTAAGTCCTACCAGTTTGGCCCATTAGCCACAACCTTCCGGTGCATCGAGGCAAGTTATATGAAGATTTAAAATATATTTAACATATTATATATACTAAAACAAACAGGTCTAAAACACCAAGCCAAATAATGGCAGGGCAATGAAGATTTAGTGCTCGGCATGACCAGCCGATTGAGTGAAGCGGGCCACAGACACAGGGGCGCAACCCACGGCAAACAGGTTGCCCAATTTGGTCGCTTTTTACGACCAGCAAAGGGGTGCTGTGGACACATTCTACCCCGTATCCACACGTGGGAATGTACATGTGTGTCGACATGTGCATGTATTAAAACCCATTAAATGACTTTGCCTGAAATAATACTCTATAATTACACGGTTTGAAGGTCCTCCTCTGTGAAACTGTCAAATATACTGTTTATGAGTACAGCAGCTGTATAATATGATTCCGAGTGCTGAAGATGAAAAACACCACTCATTACATGTAACTGATGCATTGTAGACTGGCACAGCAGACATCTCACACACGATCAAATACACGTGTGTGTATAAACTAGAAGTGACTAATTCCATAACTAAAACTTTAATTGATAACAGTGAGTCAACAACTGCACGAATGGATCAACCCTCAAAGCGGGAAAGGACAGAAGTTGGTACATCCAGATTCACGTGTAAACTTGACGTCTACAGTAAAGCTGATAACAACACTGAATTTAGATTTTAAAATCACATCGGCAACATTTCAGCCCTATCATGACCATGAAACCTACAGATTAATAAAAACAACCTTTAACGATCTGAAAACATGTCAGCAATGGACACTAAAATAATAAGAATATCACAGCGTTTTAGATTTTAAACTAGCAAGTAACCATAAAATATTATTCTCTAAGTGATACAATATGAAAACGGAGTCCATATCGTCAACAACTGAAGGCAGATCACCATACTAGAGACGCTGGATACTTACAATACCTATCTGGATTTATTGACACCAACAGAAAATCTGATGAACCAGTCACCAACACTTAGCACCGTCACATTGACCCTATGCCAGTTATTCGGCAATATGTTCATCACTGATGACAGTCAAAATGGGATAATCAAACCGGAAAACTGCATAATATCCGATCATAAGTATTTCAAGAGTCACCCGTCCTAGCCACGATGTTTGCCGTTTTTGTTGATTTAAAGGGAGAAGGTGCTCCCATGTGAAGTCATTTAAGACAGCTAACACTGTTTTAGCCTGTATCATTACTACATTAATCCGTCACTTTTTAAATGTTCCTATTTTGAAACAGTTGTTTGCTCTAATCCACAGTCATAATACTTTAACGCAGAAATACACTGTTATGAAAATATGTAAATGTTAGCCAAAACAGTCAGGCTTTTTCGTATGCTGTGATATATGACTGGTGTATTCTATGGTCTCTGCTGTAAAGTTTTCTCTGTTGTTTTATAAATTCATATGCTGGAATTTGTATCAACAATGTATAGAAATAGTATAGATTCCATGGTTTGTGGTGTGGGATAATGGTGTACAAAGATGAAACAAGACCATGATTCATTCTGGACATTGCAAACATTGAGACAAATTCGTGGCGTTTATGGATATTGTTAAATGATTATCTCCCCTGAGTGGGTACGTTAAGTTCCAAAATCTTCAAAGTTAAATTTAGACTTATAGATTTTTAAAACGTTGTATTTTTGTTGTTTTCACTGTCGGCTAAATTTTCCTACAATCGCCAGCGGCTGAAGGGATGGTGTAAATCCATCTAGGGTCCATGCAGGTAGCAAAGGTACTGTAAGTCCCTAGTATGGTGATCTACCTTCAGTTAGTTGTTGGCGACCTATAGCCCGTTTTTATATTGTATTGTCTTCGTAAATAAAATAGTTGTACATGTAGATGCTAGTGTTAGACTCCATCTTCTGGTGGCGTGTGGTCCTGTGCACAGAGCTCAGGTCACAAATCAGTGCAAGATAAGCAACGTCGAGCTCGGACAGTCCTTGGATGGGTGACCGCGTTTGGCAGCTTGACTCCTGAGAGTTTCTAGGACTTAAGGCCTGCCCGAAAACGAAGCATATGTGATTCATGTGGTCTCAACTTAGGCAAGGGAGTTTGTTCAAAATTGCCTCTGTTCACCCAGCAGAAAATGGGTACCGGGTTGGATAAAGTCATGTGACTATAACCTTCTAGCGCCTAGCAGGCAGCTTGGGTTATCCGGGGTAATAAGAATCAGATTCTGATTAAGCGCCGCGAGCAATCACTTGGTGTTTGGAGACTGTGCGCTATAGAGGATGACTTATTATTATTATTAGTGATACTCTGGTTATTTTACAGTCCTGCGATGACTGATTATTTTAGCAACTTAAATTTATTGTGGATGTCAAACATTTCTCGTCACTATATGGCTGAAATATTGCCGAGGTGACGTTAAATTTAAACTCACTCACTCGTTGCGTTTATAAGAACCACGTCTTTCAATTATTTGTGGATTATGGTTAAACTTTGAGACAGGAATTTGGTGGTACACTTGCTTGACCTGGCAATATATTTCTATTTACACAGATTTCGTGCTTTGAAATTCAGTTAGAAGGAGGAATGCAGATATGTTACGTTTATGATGCTGATGATTGGATGTGGACAATTTCTTCCCAAGTTAACAAACATACTAGTCACAATTTGTGGACGCCTTTTGATCGCATATAATTTTGTTGAAACAATTTTCAAGACCAGCTACATATTGGTGGTAGAATAAAATATATATTACCACCTGTGTGCCCAAAACAATTCGTTCCTTGTATAATTTGTTTGGTGTAAGACTTACAGAGAACCATGTCTGCATGGAGAGTACAATATATTTTTAACACTGATGAAATATGAAAAAAGGGTGTTTAAAAAATAAAAGTTTATAAAACAAAACTATAATGGTAGGCATTTTGACTGGATACAACATTGCAAAGACAACGAACCATTCGTCTTCTTTGTAAAGCAGGCAAAACGTTACTGAAAATGAACATTAATTGAAAGAAGCATTATCAATAACACATCTTTTCTCAGGAACTTCACGAATTACTTCTAAAGAAAGAAGAAGTCTTTCACATATTTCTCAAAGTGTCATTAATTCTGTCCTAAATTAGTTTTATTTTCACCATCCTCTTCAGTGTTATCCCTGCCTCAAGTTCTTTTGCCAACTTTTCTTTTCTATATCGCTTGCTGGTGATCACCATTTTCCAAAACTGATATTGTTTCTGCTTAATCTGCCAAATGCATAAAACGTTTTAGCTTTTTCATTTCGTGATTGACATTGTCTTTCTCACTTTGAACAAACATGTTTCTGCTACCTCTTTTTGCCTACTATGTTTTTTTCAGTATTATTGTGTCCATCATAACATATTTCGCTGATTTTTTGCCTACTACGTAGCCCGAGTATTTCCGTCCATATTATGCCAATACAGTGTTCACCACTATCTACTTTGATTTTTTGTCTCGTGAAGTGTCACAAACTAAGGAGGAAAGAAGCATATTGTATATATAGAGGATACTAAACGACCTTCCGTGTAATACCATTTTTATTAAACGAGTTAATGATTCGGTATCAAACGATCGAAAGTCTATCAAATAAAAATGGTAGTTTATGGAAGCGATTTTAGTATTCTGTTTATTAATCTCCACCAAAAATTGATAGAAACTCATATCAATTTTCCGCGAGTCAAGCAAGGTCTAATACCATTGTGACAGAGGTATTAGCGTTGTGACGTCATAACTGTAAAGCATTATGACGAATAGCTATTGACAATGCACTATTGTAATATTGCCGTAAAAATATGAAACTGCAGTATCATCCACGGGCGATAAATGAGGCTGTTTAACTGTAGAATGATATAGTGTCTGTTGTCCCTGTAGCCATTGTCCCTTGTAGTTTACTGATCCGTAAAGATCCAGGTTAGAATTGGTCTTCAAGAACCCATGCTTGTCGTAGATCGATGCTCATGCTGTTCGTCGATGCACTCGATTGTTTGGTCCAGATTCTATTATTTTCAGACAGCCTCCATATATTGCTGAGAGCGTCGTAAAACTAAAACTAATACTAAACTCCGTGTCATGTTCTTGGAACATAAAATATAAACATGGTTCACAAGGTCATAGACAATTGTACCACATGCACATTCGCGCGATTCTAGTGGTTTACATGGAATGTGGACAATTTTACATATTACATTTCAGGGGAAGTCTCTTGCATAGTAGTCATGTATATAGAGAGATCTAGTCAGTCGATTCGAGTAGATATATCGAAGCTTCTATTTCTATCTGTGACCAGCTGGTTCCATTGAGGCTTGCTGAAAGGATTGCAGGCATCAACGTAGTGCCTGACCTCATTTTCAAGACTTTTTGCGAGTCTGAAGATGTTGAAGGCAGGTGAGCAGAAGCATCGTTTATCGTTATTAGACTCACATGTATACTGCCCAAATCGGCCAATGAATACACGGCAATATGTGAAGGGGTATCCTTAGCTAAGCCTTGAACCGTTTAGCTGAAGTATCTTTGGGACAGTTGTAACAAATCATATTCTCTAAGAGAGAGTTGTCCCCCGGTGTTGCAACCATAGAGTGCACAAGGTAGTATTTCTCGTTCTAATATTAGAACAGGTGATAAGGGGTCATCCCCAAAAGAGTATACCATGGCTATGATATATATTGATATTCTTTTCACAAGCAACTAAAGTGCGTTCCAATGACATTCCATTGTATGTTAGATGTACACCAGCATAGGTCACTGACGATTTGTATCGGAGTTTACTCTGTCCACAGTACAGATCTGGACATAGCACATTTTACTGGCAGCGTGAGAAGAGAAGCATCTGCTTACATCATGCACCAGTTGCCACTAAATGTGGTGAGTTGCAGGCAATCGTTGTATCGTCAGCTAGGAATTGGCTTGGATAGTGTAACAAGGGTAACCGTAAGCCGTATCCAGAGCAGTTAAATTCACAGATGAGAACACGGTAAAAAGCCAGACAGACAGAACACGTCCTTGGCCCACGTCTTGACTGATTGTGAACAGCTCGGATTCACAGCTTGAAAATGTCACATATGATTGCATAGATGAATACACATTATGCAATAGACGCCACGTTTTACCTGTAATTCCCATCTCAAATAGCTTGAGAAGCAGGCCATTTAGCCAGACATGATCAAACGTCTTACAGTTATCTAAAAAGCACAGTAGACAACAGATTGCCTTTCATTCTAGTATGCTATGTTCTCAAGCAGACTGTCTTTTCCCCCGGCAATAGTTTTCGAAATCCAAGCTGTAGATGGTGTGGATACTCAGGCATAGTATTGAAATATCGTTCAATTTTGGTGAGTAAAAGACTTTCAAACAGCTTGCTGAGTACATACATTAGAGTAATGCCTCCGTAATTATGAAGATCAGTTGCCATGTGGTAGGTGAGATTTTATGGTACATGGTACTTTCCTAAATAGCTTTTCCTTTCTAAAAAAATAAATCATACTAATTGGAATTGTCTCTTCTAGTTCATATAATCATGTCTATAATTGTGGCTGTGCTTGTCCAGCCTACCTATTGGATGTTTTTCATGTAGCTCGGAATCATATTGTACAACTGGACCTTCAATGCGTCAACAACGTGTAATCATATATTATTATTTCAGGCAAATATAATATACACGTTATCTGGTCTGTTAACAACATGTTACATATTGCATAATATATATTCGTGTTCTGTGGCTTGTCATGCCGTTTTCATCAAATAATCACATAGCAGCTGTGATGGTACTGCCTCCAAATTAAGACTATTTAAGAGAGGCGTGTTTAAATCCTTGCCATATATAGGCAAAGGCAACTGAGAGGAACATCAAAACAGAAAGGTAGGTTTGAATGTATTATTCTGCTTCACAGTGTAGCCCTCACATATTTCTTCATTGTATGATCGGGCGGTGGGGTAGTCTAGTGGTTAAAACGTTGGCTCGTCACGCCGAAGACCCGGGTTCAAATCCCTAAGCGGCGTAAAACCAAACTCAGTCAGTCAGTCATTGTATGATCAGCCCACGTTTATGCCTTCCTGGTGAGAGTAACGTAAATCCTTATTCAACTCATGTGCGCCAGAGTTTTTAATTATATAGTAATGATGCCTTCATTATCTTTGTTTGGTGATTAAATCTCCGCTCCTCAGTCTTGAAGTTCCTACTACCGTTTGTAAAAAAAACATTTGTGTAGTAGATAATGCAGTGATTGGCATCATCTCCCAAATGTGAATGCGATGATAAGCAGCAACCAAGTAAACGGCAGTATATAGTACTTAACTGTAATGACTCCTTCAAGGTACTTCATTTACTCATCTGACACTATGTAAAGTTCTGACATATCATCAAACAATCGATCACGGTCTCTGACGATGCCTTTACTTGTGTTTAATGTTTTGTGAGCAGAGAGGGGATTGAAGAGCGCTTAGCGTTACCCAGCACCCACCACGAGGAGGTGGCTCTTCACGGGTGTCCAAAGTTTGTGAAGAAACCTGGAATAAAATACATTAACACTTGTGCTTTCACGTGATCCCTTATTTGTTTCCCTCAGTATACTTTAGGGTAACAACTAGTCAGTGCTACTGGTTACATTCGTTTATATTACCTTTTCCTATGAATAGGACATGGTAGTATAAATTAACAACTGCGATTGTTGGCTGTATTCTCAAAAGAGGTTAAAGTTTCGTAAAATTATTGTCCTCCTGAGAGGATACGTAAATCCAAAAACATTCAAAGTTAAATTTAAACTTACCAGATTTTTAAACGTAGTATTTGTTTTATTTTAAACTTCGGCTGAACGTTTTCTACAATCGCCAGCAGCTGAAGGGATGGTGTAAATCCAACTTGGGTCCATGCAGGTAGCAAAAGCACTGTAAGTCCCAATGGTCCCTAGTATGGTGATCTACCTTCAGTTGCTGGCGATCTATATCCCATTTTTAAGATGTGTTGTTGTTATTTATCTATTCTTTCAAATCAACTATTTGTCACTCAACTGTGATAATCTAGTTATTCTACTGTCGATCGATGACAGGTTATTTTTTATGTATTTAGTCTTAAGATTCAAATTCTCGTCACGATATGGCTGAAATATTGCCGAAGTGACGCTAAACTCACTCACTCACTTATGAATTGGTATTACTGAAGCAATTTCCAAACGTCTGGAAATATTGAATTATTCAGTGAGGAAGTAAACAATTTACGTAATGAGTCTGAGATATTACCAGGGCGCCGAGTTTTAATTGTCAACTACCGATACCAACATGCCCGGTTGCTTTAGTAACATCAATGGAAAGTAAAATATCTTTAACTTCATTGGAACTCAATGTGATGGAGGATAAACTCTGATGTTTTTTTATCTCAGATTCTGGTAGGTTTTGGTCAGGATGGTTTTACAGCAGCCTGATCGCAGAAATAACCATTCATAATTGTT